AGTTGCTGCCCTCTGCAGTTCATCTATACATGTCTTGTTGCTGTCCTCGTACTCCTGCCTGGACCTTCTACTGTTTGGTGGGGGATTGTAGAGTATCAAGATTACAATCTTCTTCCCATCCACTATCAGAGTTCCATGTATGAAGCTCGTGCTTTCATTGGTACCCGGATTTTCCAGCTCATCAAACTTCCATTTCCGCTTTATTAGGAGTGCCACTCATCCTCCCTGTCTCTGTGTCCTTTCTTTTCTTATCACCTGGTACCCCTCGGGAAAGATTGCTTCCGAGATCATGCTATTTATTTTAGTTTCCACTATTGCCACTATGTCTGGGTCTGCCTCACTAACTCTTTCCTTTATCTCTTCTGCTTTATTTGATACCCCATCAGCATTGATGTACCAAACCTTGAGATTCTTCTTGGAAACTCTGGTGCCAGAGTTCCCCCCTTTCACCCTCCTTGTGTGTGTATGTGTGTGTGTGTGTGTGTGCTCACGTATTGTTACTCCCCTATTAAGGCCAGATTGATCGAGCGTTGCCTCTTGGATATCGTCTTTCTAGCATTCGGTTCTTTAAAGCAATGATTCCTGTCCTTCTCTATCATACCTAGTTTTAAAGCTATTAATAGTGTTTGCTTCCACAATGTGCTCCTTTAGTTAATTCCATTTCCCCACTACTCTCACGGTAAAACCAAAGTTTCTAATATCTCTATGTCTCATTTGAGTTTCCAGGTTCCACCCATGTCCCCTTGTTCTGGGTAAAAGCTGGAAGCACACACACATACCCAGGAAGCAGCCCGTAACAGCTGTCTAACTCCCACGTACCTATTTACTGTTAGGTAACAGGGGTATGTTTTGTGTTCTGCCGGCGCCGGGGATAGAACCCCCGGTCCCTAGGTCAACGAGTATAGAGCGCTGTCCACTCAGCCTTCAGCCCCCTTTGTGTGTACTCACCTAGTTGTACTCACCTAGTTGTGTCTGCAGGATCGAGCATTGACTCTTGGATCCCGCCTTTCGAGCATCGGTTGTTTACAGCAATGACTCCTGTCCCATTTCCCTATCATACCTGGTTTTAAAATTATGAATAGTATTTGCTTCCACAACCTGTTCCTGAAGTGCATTCCATTTTCCCACTACTCTCACGCTAAAAGAAAACTTCCTAACATCTCTGTGACTCATCTGAGTTTCAAGCTTCCATCCATGTCCTCTTGTTCTGTTACTATTCCGTGTGAACATTTCGTCTATGTCCACTCTGTCAATCCCTCTGAGTATCTTATACGTTACTATCATGTCCCCCCTCTCCCTTCTTCATTCTAGTGTCGTAAGGCACAGTTCCCTCAGGCGCTCCTCATACCCCATCCCTCGTAGCTCTGGGACGAGTCTCGTTGCAAACCTCTGAACCTTTTCCAGTTTCATTATATGCTTCTTCAGATGGGGACTCCATGATGAGGCGGCATACTTTAAGACTGGCCTTACGTAGGCAGTGTAAAGCGCCCTAAATGCCTCCTTACTTAGGTTTCTGAATGATGTTTCTGAATGATGTGTGTGTGTGTGTGTGTGTGTGTGTGTGTGTGTGTGTGTGTGTGTGTGTGTGTGTGTGTGTGTGTGTGTGTGTGTGTGCTCACCTAATTGTGCTTGCGGGGGTTGAGCTCTGGCTCTTTGGTCCCGCCTCTCAACCGTCAATCAACTGGTGTACAGGTTCCTGAGCCTATTGGGCTCTATTATATCTACATTTGAAACTGTGTATGGAGTCAGCCTCCACCACATCACTTCCTAATGCATTCCATTTACTAACTACTCTGACACTGAAAAAGTTCTTTCTAACGTCTCTGTGGCTCATTTGGGTACTCAGCTTCCACCTGTGTCCCCTTGTTCGCGTCCCACCAGTGTTGAATAGTTCATCCTTGTTTACCCGGTCGATTCCCCTGAGGATTTTGTAGGTTGTGATCATGTCCCCCCTTACTCTTCTGTCTTCCAGTGTCGTGAGGTGCATTTCCCGCAGCCTTTCCTCATAACTCATGCTTCTTAGTTCTGGGACTAGTCTAGTAGCATACCTTTGGACTTTTTCCAGCTTCGTCTTGTGCTTGACAAGGTACGGGCTCCATGCTGGGGCCGCATACTCCAGGATTGGTCTTACATATGTGGTGTACAAGATTCTGAATGATTCCTTACACAGGTTCCTGAACGCCGTTCTGATGTTAGCCAGCCTCGCATATGCCGCAGACGTTATTCTCTTTATGTGGGCTTCAGGAGACAGGTTTGGTGTGATATCAACTCCTAGATCTTTCTCTCTGTCTGTTTCATTAAGTACTTCATCTCCTATTCTGTATCCTGTGCCTGGCCTCCTGTTTCCACTGCCTAGTTTCATTACTTTGCATTTACTCGGGTTGAACTTCAACAGCCATTTGTTGGACCATTCACTCAGTCTATCCAGGTCATCTTGTAGCCTCCTACTATCATCCTCTGTTTCAATCCTCCTCATAATTTTTGCATCGTCGGCAAACATTGAGAGGAACGAATCTATACCCTCTGGGAGATCATTTACATATACCAGAAACAGTATAGGTCCAAGGACTGACCCCTGCGGGACTCCACTTGTGACGTCTCGCCAATCTGAGACCTCACCCCTCACACAGACTCGTTGTCTCCTGTTGCTTAGGTATTTCTCTATCCACCGGAGTACCTTCCCTCTCACTCCAGCCTGCATCTCCAACTTTCGCACTAGCCTCTTGTGTGGTACTGTATCAAAGGCTTTCTGACAATCCAAAAATATGCAGTCTGCCCACCCTTCTCTTTCTTGCCTTATTTTTGTTGCCTGGTCGTAGAATTCAAGTAACCCTGTGAGGCAGGACCTGCCATCCCTGAACCCATGTTGATGCTGTGTTACAAAGTTCCTTCGCTCCAGATGCTCCACTAGTTTTTTTTCGCACAATCTTCTCCATCAGCTTGCATGGTATGCAGGTTAGGGACACTGGCCTGTAGTTCAGTGCCTCCTGTCTATCCCCTTTCTTGTATATCGGGACTACGTTAGCTGCTTTCCAAATATCTGGCAGTTCCCCTGTTGCCAGTGATTTGTTATACACTATGGAGAGTGGTAGGCTCAGTTCTCTTGCTCCTTCCTTTAGAACCCAAGTTGAGATTCCATCTGGGCCTATAGCCTTCGTCACGTCCAACTCTAGTAAACACTTCCTTACTTCCCCACTGGTAATCTCAAACTCTTCCAGTGGTTCCTGGTTAGCTATTCCCTCACTTACCTCTGGAATTTCTCCTTGTTCTAAGGTGAAGACCTGGAATTTCTTATTCAATTCCTCACACACTTCCTTGTCATTTGTAGTGAATCCTTCCGCCCCTATCCTTAATCTCATAACCTGTTCCTTTATTGTTGTTTTTCTCCTAATGTGGCTATGCAACAATTTAGGCTGAGTCTTTGCCTTGCTTGCGATGTCATTTTCGTATTGTCTTTCTGCCTCTCTTCTCATCCTGACATATTCATTCCTGGCATTCTGGTATCTTTCTCTGCTCTCCAGTGTCCTGTTATTCCTATAGTTTCTCCATGCCCTTTTACTTTGCTGCTTAGCTAGCCTACATCTTTGATTAAACCATGGGTTTCTCATCTTCATTTCTCTGTTTTCCTTTTGGACTGGGACAAACTTGTTTGCTGCGTCCTTGCACTTCTGCGTGATGTAATCCATCATATCTTGGGCCGTCTTTCCCCTGAGCTCTGTTTCCCATGCTATATCTGTTAGGAATTTTCTTATCCCCTCATAGTTTCCCTTTCGGTATGCTAACCTTTTGGTTTCGGTATCCCTCCTCGAGTTCAATAACCCTTCTTCAATCAAGTACTCAAACACCAGTACACTGTGGTCGCTCATTCCTACTGGGTCCTCAAAACCGATTTCTCTTATGTCGGAGTCGTTCAGAGTGAAGACTAGGTCGAGTCTCGCTGGTTCGTCATTTCCTCTCATCCTTGTGGGTTCTCCGACATGCTGGGTTAAAAAGTTGCTTGTCACTACCTCCAATAGTTTGGCTCTCCACGTATCCTCGCCTCCATGCGGTTCCTTGTTCCTTGTGTGTGTGTGTGTGTGTGTGTGTGTGTGTGTGTGTGTGTGTGTGTGTGTGTGTGTGTGTACTCACCTAGTTACTCACCTAGTTGTGTTTGCGGGGGTTGAGCTCTGGCTCTTTGGTCCCGCCTCTCAACCGTCAATCAACAGGTGTACAGATTCCTGAGCCTATCGGGCTCTGTCATATCTACACTTGAAACTGTGTATGGAGTCAGCCTCCACCACATCACCCCCTAATGCATTCCATTTGTCAACCACTCTGACACTAAAAAAGTTCTTTCTAATATCTCTGTGGCTCATTTGGGCACTCAGTTTCCACCTGTGTCCCCTTGTGCGTGTTCCCCTTGTGTTAAATAGACTGTCTTTATCTACCCTATCAATCCCCTTCAGAATCTTGAATGTGGTGATCATGTCCCCCCTAACTCTTCTGTCTTCCAGCGAAGTGAGGTTTAATTCCCGTAGTCTCTCCTCGTAGCTCATACCTCTCAGCTCGGGTACTAGTCTGGTGGCAAACCTTTGTGTGTGTGTGTGTTTGTGTGTCCAGTTTAGTCTTATCCTTGACTAGATATGGACTCCATGCTGGGGCTGCATACTCCAGGATTGGCCTGACATATGTGGTATACAAAGTTCTGAATGATTCTTTACACAAGTTTCTGAATGCCGTTCGTATGTTGGCCAGCCTGTGTGTGTGTGTGTGTGTGTGTGTGTGTGTGTGTGTGTGTGTGTGTGTGTGTGTGTGTGTGTGTGTGTGTGTGTGTGTGTGTGTGTGTGTGTGTGTGTGCGTGCCTGTGTGTGTTTGTGTGTGCCTGTGTGTGTGTGTGTGTGTGTGTGTGTGTGTGTGTGTGTGTGTGTGTGTGTGTGTGTGTGTGTGTGTGTGTGTGTGTGTGTGTGTGTGTGTGTGTGTGTGTGTGTGTGTGTGTGCTACATTCACTTCGATATACCTACCTCAGCAGGAAAGGTTGCACCGTTAATCTGGTGCTCTGAACCCATGTCGTTATTGACGCCAAAGTGGATGTAGAGTTCTTCGAAGCGGTACTTGTAGACGAGAGGTCCGCCTGTGATGTTGACGTGGTGCTTGGTGCCCTTCTCCACCTTGAAGAGGACGCTCTGACCGGCGTTGTGGATCGTCCCAGAGATCTGAAAGGTCAGATCGAGAAGAACCGAGGATTAATTGACACGAAGAAATATTTGATACATCGACTTACTGAATCTTAATGCATAATGGTAATGAAACAAGAACCAATTATATGCAGGGAGAGAATATTCCAATTAAAGCTGAGGTCTGAATACAGCAAATTCATCAAAGAATATTGAAGTAATTTTTGGTGGGAAATAATCAACAGGTGAGGGGCAAGGTAAGACATTCAACAGCATCGAAGAGCTGAATGAAGAAGCTACAGGCAACTCCTGGAGCTACTCCTACCTCAGGAGTTAATAATACAGGCGGTAAGGCCCGGTGGGAAGCGAGAGATACAATTTTCACCACTCTCATCCTTTTTTTTTATAAAAGGCAGAAATTAGAACGAAGGCGGCGTTAGATAATATACACCTGGAAGATACTGGAGGGCCAAGTACCAAATCTACACAGTAAAATAACAACGTACTGGAGTGAACGACATGGAAGAAAATGTAGAATAGAACCAATGAAGAGCAGAGGTGCCATAGGCACAATCAGAGAACACTGTATAAACATCAGAGGTCCGCGGTTGTTCAACGTCCTCCCAGCAAGCATAAGAAATATTGCCGGAACAACCGTGGACATTTTCAAGAGGAAACTAGATTTATTCCTCCAAGGAGTGCCGGACCAACCGGGCTGTGGTGGGTATGTGGGCCTGCGGGCCGCTCCAAGCAACAGCCTGGTGGACCAAACTCTCACAAGTCGAGCCTGGCCTCGGGCCGGGCTTGGGGAGTAGACGAACTCCCAGAACCCCATCAACCAGGTATCAACCAGATGCGAGGTAATAAAGTAACGCAGGAACTCTCTCATATTGAGCGGTATATACGCATCTTTCTTGGCAGGTCCTATACATGTTATATCCGCCCCATGGACCGCTCACACACACACGCACGAGGCGCTGTTACAGCCTAAAACAAGTCCTGCCTCGTAATATCTTTCCGCATACTTTTCAACAGCAAAGAGATGCCAGCTGCCCTACTGTTATGTATGAGAACAAGGTCAGTCCGTCTATCAATCCATTCATCAATATATCTATTTCTCCATCTATCCATATATATAATCCCCCATCTAAACGTACGTTCATCTATTTGCTTATCTATTTGTCCATTTATCTATCGAACTATCTATCCATTCATCAATCAGTCGATTTATAAATCAATTCATCTATTTATCCAACTATCTATCCATCCATCTACTCATCTATTTATTCATCTACCCCATCTAAATGCCAATATATCCATCTATATGTCAATATATCCCTTTATCTTTCCATCTTTATCTCTCAGTCTATCCACTCAGTCATCAATTTATCCCTCTGTCCTTCAATCAGTCCATCTATCCAACTCCATCCAGCTATCCATCTATCTACCGTTGTTTTGGCAGATGAAACCACGTATCTACCCTCAAGAGGAAGCAAAGGAGGAGAGCAGCATTAGGGAGACTTCGTCTTGGAGTGTCGCAATGGACGGGGAACTTAAGAAAACTTTGACAAGGCCGCCTCAGCTGTCTTTGAAGATCTCAAATTCATTCGCCGTGCTGGAAGACGAGTTCTGTAGAGAGACTACAGTTACCCCGAGAGACAAGACAACGTAGGGAGCGTCGGGAAATAAAGTAGCTAAACGAATTTTGGCTGTGGGTGATTCTCAGGAGAGGTTTTTGGATAGAGCATTTTGTTCCAGAAAGGTTGAGTGTTTGCTGTCCAGAAGCAGGAATTGGTGATATTGTAAACAACTTGAATGATATTATGGCTAGAAATGGGAACAAACCCATTATATGTATCAGTGCCGGTGGAAATGATGTTGGGCGAGCTAGGAATGAGGCACTGATACAGAGATTTAAGACAGCTATAGAATTAGTTAGGAGCAAGGGAGGAATCCCGATCATATGTGGCATTCTTCCAAGAAAGGAAGTTATCGAAAGGAAAAGGGAAATTATTGGTTGTCGAGGGCACTTGGGGTTAATTGCCGACTGGACAAATATTGGAAATCAAATGCAATATCACTCATTATTAACTGGAAGCAATTCTATGAAAGGACTGATATGTATGCTCGAGATGGGGTTTATTTATCTAGGGCTGGGGTTGTTGCTGCTGCCAACTCGTTGGAATCTGTGGTTGGAGGAGTCAGGAATTAAACTGTTACTAGATATTGGTATGGGAATTTATATTGAGCATGGAAGCATTAAAAGTATGAATTGGTTGGAAAAAAGTGCTAAAAGAAACAGGGAAGAAGATGGGCCTCCAAATAGCAATCAACGTATGGTATAATAAACGACCAGTAGAAGTCTAAGAAACCAAATATAAAAAATAAATGTTCTTTTCTGCACAGAGACAATAGACAGAGACAATTATTACACTTACAGAAACATGGATAAATATAGAAAACAGAGAGCTGTTTGCTGAATATCAAATAAACGAATATAAGTTATTTCATACAGATATATATATATATTAGACGAGGAGGGGAAGTAGCCATTTATGTTAGGGAAAATTTAAATGTAGCCTCAAAGATGGAGTCAAAACTGAGCCACAGACAGAAACTATTTGATTAGAATTAAAAGGAACAGCAAAAAATCTTAAATTAGGAGTTATATACAGGCCACCCATCTTCGACAGATTTGAAACAAAGCATCTACGAGATGAAATATCTAGAGCATCTAGGTCTAACAGGATTTGTGTCATGTATGACTTTAATATTAGTGAAATAAACTGGCTTAACAAAACAGGGAAAAGTGAAGCAAGGGATTTTCTAGAATTAATTGACAACTGCTTCCTTAAGCAACACAGTAAGGAATCAATGTGAGAAAATAATATTTTTGACTTTGTGTTACCTAACAGAGAGACACAAATTAATGACATCAAAATAGGGAGTGAGCTAGGGAACAGTAATAAGAAGGAAATTAGATGTAGCATAGAATGGAATAGCTTTGTAAGAGAAAATTCGGTTAAAGTGCCAAATTTTCGAAAAACTGATTTTAATGGCCTAAGAAACTTTTGGGGTAAATTAGATTGAAAAGTCCCGGGCATAGGGGGTGGGCCGGTCGTTGAGGGAGACACCTTTTAACGTCATGGGTGACGTAAAAAGAGATTTCGATGCGGATTCAAAATATAACTTATTTCAAAATATTCTAAACAAAGCACAGGAACGAAGTCTTCCGTTCAAATTGAAGAGATCGAATTATAATGACCCGAAATGAATAATAAAGGTACTGAAGAACATTATAGATAGAAAGAGATCTTGGTACAAAGGAATCAAGAATGGGGAAGTCAGTTTAGAACAAAAATTCGTCCAACTGGTTAGAAATATTAAAAAAAAAAAATAAGGAGGGCAAAAAGAAACTGTGAAGTTCAACTGGGCAACTGAAACTGGGCAAGCAAAGGCAAATCCTAAAAAAAAATTCAGTTATACCGAACAAAAATTAGGGAAAGTATATGTCCTTTAAAAACTGAGACACGTCTGATGACTGATAATGACGAAGAGATGAGTAGTATTTTCAATAAATATTTTATCTCTGTATTTACTAACGAGGAACTTAAAATAATGCCATCAGCATAATGATTTTTTAAATTAATAACTGAAACATGTCAGATAACTGATAATGACGAAGAGATGAGTAGTATTTTAAATATTTTATCTCTGCATTTACTAAAGAGAAACTTAACAATATGCCCTCAGCCGAACAAGTCTATGTGGGTGGGGACGAGGACAGGTTGACTAGTTACCAGACAGGTTGTTAATAAACATCTAGTGAACTGAAGCCAAACAAATCCCAAGGGCCGGACGAGTTGTTTGTCAAGGAGCTTAAATAATGCAAAAAAGGACCTTAGCAGGAAGGTTGCTAATATGGTAACAATTTTCAAGAGAGAAGATAAATCACTTGCGTCAAACTATCGCCCAATTAGCTTAACGGGTATTGTGGGAAAGTTTCTTGAATCAATAATTGCAAATACCATTTTATTTTCATCATGAAAAACATAGATTAATAAATGATTCACAACATTATTTTATTAACAGCCGTTTATGTTTAACAAATTTGCTATCATTTTATTCGAGCATAGTTGAGGCAGTTGAGAGTGGGAAGGTTTGTGACGTTGTTTACCTTGACTTTAGCAAAGCTTTTGATAAAGTACCACATGAAACATTGATTAAAACGATAGAGTCTCACGTTATTGGGGGTGCAATATTAAGTTTTGTAACGGCATTGCTATACCAAAAAAAACAGAGTCAGTATAAATGGAGTTAAGTCAGAGGGGAAAAATGTTGAAAGTGGAGTGTCTCAAGGCTCTGTCCTAGGACTTCTGTTATTCATAATATATATAAATAATTTAGATTCGGGTTTAAGCAGAAATATTTGTAAATTTGCCTATGATACGAAAATCGGGAGGAAAATGAACACGGAAAAAACGCGCTATCACTTCAAGACGATCTAAATAGTGTTTTCAAATGGTCTAAAGATTGGCAGATGAAGATTAATGCTGACAAAATTAAGATTTTGACGCTAGGTAAGGATGATAGAGTTTCAAAATACGAACTAGATGGTGTTGAGATTGCGAAGTCGGATTGCGAAAGAGATCGGGGAATTATGATTAGTAAGAATTAAAAATAATAAATTCAATACATAAATGTTCGTAATTAGGCAGTATTAAATTGCATCTGTCAATCTTTTGACCATTTCAAAATTAGAACCTTCATTCTTATGTTCAATCTATTGTCCGTCTCTGTCTCTGCCTCTCTGTCAATCTCTCTCTCTCTCTCTCTCTCTCTCTCTTTCTGTTACAAAAAATATGTCTAATGAATGGATGATCATTAGTGATAGGAGCTGTGTGTGAATTGCCAGTAAAAAAAATTGTTATCCTCTCAGTCTGATAAAGGAGAAACCTTTGACACTATGTAAGGATCGTGTATGTTATGTGAGTACAAGCAAATTATCGACAGCATGAAATTTATGTTAGTTTCCCCAA